CAGCCCTGAACTTGCCGGTAGACAACCGGCCCACACCCCCACAACCCGAATGGCCCAAGATGCTGGCAGGCGCCTACAAGCGGATGCAGCGGCTCGCCCGCTTCCCACTGTCAGCCTTCGGCAGGGCCACCGCCACGTCCGCCTACGGCCTGCAGACGGTCACCTGGCACATGGAACATGGCGGACCCCCTCCAGACAGCACTCTGGACCACATCGAGCGGCTGACGGCCCGCCTGGTCGACCGACAACAGGGCCCAGAAGACCCAGGCCAGCGTCTCACAGGTGTACCCAGCAGCCTTTTAGAAGGCCATCCGTCAACCGGGGGTTTCGGCCTGCTACCGCTCCGACAGCACATCCACGCTCGCCACGCAGTCTGGGCCGTGCGATTCATTGCACAGGCACTACCGGCGGCAGGTTGTGAAGGTAGGGGTGCGGGAGGGGAAGTAACTGGGGGAGCAGGCGGGGACGAGGAGGTGGCAGCGGCAACCAACAGTGAGGCCCGAGGCCTACACCCGTGGGTACGCACGCTGTCCGCCTACCTGGAGCTCACCCACCCTGCACTCCAGCCTTGGGCTCTGACAACCGCCCGGGCCACGGGACCGTGGCTCGGCAGCAGCGACCTTCCCGCAGACATCAGCCGGATCGTGGGGGCACTGGGGCACTTGCCGCCTTTGGAGGACATTGGCAGAACCCCACTGGAACCCGGTGATTGGTGCTGGGCGGCGGTGCTATGGGGCAACCCACTGCTGCCCAATGCGACCAATGCTGCAAGCACCGAGGGCCCCAGCCGTCGACCAGGCCTGGAAGCATACCATGCAGCACTGACACCATGCAGGAAATTACGCACGGTGGGGGACCTGGTACGGGTGTGGGAAGCGCTAAACACTAGCCAAGCCACCACCCTCCAGGGAGCAGCCTGGCATTCGTGGGCCCGTGAACACCTCGACCCAGCCACAGACCCCGCCCAGCTGCAGGACAAGGATGCCGCCCTTGCAGCTCTTGGAGCCCTGCACAGCGACATCAGCCCGGCCTGGCTGGCGGCAGCATACGCGGTGGAGATCAGGCTGCGACAGCAACAACAAGTGGAGGAGGAGGGGCCCCAGCAGCAGCCACCAGCACCAGCAGCGACACTGCCAGACTGCGCACAAGTGATGGCTATGATCATCGGGCGCCTGGGGTGGCGCCTCCCTGGGGCGACGGACGCTGTGCCGCTCCGCCGCCTAACGGTCAGTCTAGCGACACAGCTACAGAACGGGCATGTGGACGAGCGGCGAATACGCCTGATGACCGACTTCGTTCATGAGGCCCTGAACACGCCCGAGGCCCAGGCCCAGCCTGACAATTCTGCCGAGGTTAGCCGCTTTCAGGCAACCCTGGCACGTTTGTGGCATGGGGTGCGCTGGGAGAATGAGAACAAGGAGACCATGTGGCGTCTCGCCGTGGATGGCGTGCCCCTACCTGGCAACACGCACCTAGCCCGGGTGCCCACTGAGCCATGCGGGTGTGGGACCTATGGGGGCGCCGCCGGCCGACCCTGCCCACCGCGTCTGCACCATTTCTGGGAATGTCCAGTCGCACGTGCCGTACAGGAGCAGATCGACAGGCACCTGCCACACACTCAGACAACAGTAGGGGCCACCACCACCCGGCAGCAGCTCTGGCTTGCCCAAGCGCCACCCGGGTGTGAGCAGGGCCCTTGGGATGTGATCGCCCTAGCGGCGCTATCCGCCATGGAAGTCGGCAGGTGCTGCCTCCGAGCAGCAACCCGGCGACAGGGACGGATGGGGGCGACAGCAACGGCGGGACAGCAGCAGCAGCAGCAGCAGCAGCAGCGACAGCAACAGCGACAGATGATGGGGCAACCCCAGCAGCAGAGATCCCGCCAGCGGGCCATCACAGATTTCTTCACCCCGGCGGGAGGTGCAATGCAGCAAGAAGGACCCACCCTAAACGCCCCAGCGGATGATGGGCCAACGCAGGAAG